TTTAAAGCACAGACCTCAGGGAGGCTGCGAAGATTACTGCATTTTCTAGATAGTATTAAAAATTGGAGAAGACAAAGTTTGAAGATTTTTGGTTTCTGGTTACCTGTATATAATTTAAAGTTAAAAATCAATTTAGAGTTGCCAAATATATAGCGTAGGTAAAGATTTGTAAAGAGTTAAAGCTAGGCAGGATTGAAAGTCCTTTCTCTGTTCATCCTTGCAAGTTTTAGTATCTCCGTGGGTTTAGTTCCAAAGAAGGAGCCAGGGTCATTCAGATTGATACACCACTTATATTTTAAGTGAGAATATTTAAATGACGTGATTCTAAAGGAGGATAGTTCAGTGTCATATTCAACTTTTGATAAGTTTTAAATGTGGTAATAGAATGTGGGAGGAGGCAATATTATAGCTGCTTTTAACTCTGACCAATTTAGTCCGAGTCATTTAATTCGTAAATTTTTCAATTTGAAGGTCGTATTTTCGGCAGGTGCTTACCAGTTTTTTCGTGTGCTTGCATGTTCTTACTTTGAGTTATTTGTGATGTTATTGAATGGATAGTTCGATTCAAGCCTGGTCAGAGAAAAATAGTGCACTATTTGATGATTTTATTGTGGGCTCCAAAGAGAGTGGCAACTATAAGAGCCTGTTAGAAATTTTTCAAAAGGTGACATAATTTACGTATTCTTTTAGCAGCAGATAAGACGATTTTATCCAATTATTTACTTGTCTACAATTCCTGATTAAAAAAAAAAAAAAAAAGAGAGAGAGAGAGAAAAGAAATATGGAATTTAGGTTGCCGGAGGAAAGGATTAAGAAGATAATGCTGATTAAACAGGTAACGGGCTGTGGAAAAGTAACTTTAAGGTGCTGCAATCACTCTTAGGTTTGTTGTATTTGCATCAAGGGTTATCCTAATGGGGAGAGCATTTTTCCAAGAAAATCGGTATAACAAAGGCAAACATTAACCTCCCCCCCCCTCGGCTCACAATGGAATAACAAGAGAATTAAAACAAGACTTAAAGTATAAAAAAATAAAAATAAAAAATAATAATAATAAATAAATAAATACAAATATTGTAAAGTTAATGGGGGATCAATGTTACAGAAGGAGTTCACAGATTTAATAATTTGGAGCTGTTAACTGATGTAGCAGGTGCATTGTTTTCGGTACACAGTGGGAAGGACAGGGGGGTTTTTCTCTAGAATGGCCAACAAGAAGGTTTTAGAAAATAATTTCAACGTGTTTAGAGTTATTCCCCATCGCAGCAGCCATACTTATGGTAGAGTATGGAAAGGTAGACGATTGATTGCTATTTATGTGATACTTTGAGTGTAGTGATGGTACTCAATTCCTTACAGTCTTTGGTGTAAAAGGGTAGTTAATTTGCTGAGGCATTTGGGTTTTAAGGTATCTGCAATTCAATACCTAATAAAAAAAAAAAAATAAAAAAAAAAATAAAATAATAATAATAATAATAATAATAATAATAATAATAATGCAAAGTCGGGCATATACCAAGAAAATGAAAAGGCTGGTTGATGCTCTATCAAGTTTAAAATTACAGAAGTTTCGGGAAGCGAAAGGAATCCAATTTTTCATCAGACCTTTGGGTATAGTTTGGGACAGTTAAGTGTTCTTATAATTAATTTAGTGGCAGCTTCAGTTTTGCTTTCTTAAGTTAAGGGCATGGAATGAGCGGGGAATTTTAAAAGTAAGTGGTAAAATTCCATTAGAAGAGGATAAGGAGAGTGCAGTGCAATTTATAGTTCATGTAATGCAGAAAGGGCTTTTCTAAATCAAAGTTACAAGTGATTTAGCAAAGGTGGATTTCTTCTGAAGCTGTGTGATGGTAAACCAATCAAACAGTATTTCATAGTTCAGCTAGTTAAAGGTGGTAGGAGAGTTTGTCAGGTTAGGGATAATAGAAAACCTAATACATTTTCGGTTTTGGCACAGTTAGTGGAAGATTTTGAAGGCGTATATTATTCTTCATTGAGTTAGTTATTTAGATGCCTGTTTATATCAGTTTTCAGTTGTAGGATTGGTGAGTTGATACAAGGAGTAAATTTTGTTTATCGGGTGTGCTGTTGGAGGATGTTATGGTGCACAATAAGAGTATTGATATCTATTAGAAAACCTAAACGGTTCAAGAGGGAAACGACATATGGTTGACATTGTTTAATATTAAAGTTTCTTTTGTGCCCTGTAAAGTGACGGAAGAACAGTTATCAGTAAGGCCAAGAGTAAAGGGCCCATTTTATGCATGCTGATTTAATTCTTTAACTTAATTTCAATTCATAAAGGTTAAAATAAATAAATAAATAAATAAATTATATCATTTGGTTGGGCGAGGAGTGTTACTCATCTTGTTCTTTTAGAATTGGAGCTGCAAACAAAGCGGCAAGGTGTGGTTGAAGTGATGGAATGAGTCAAACGTTGGGAAGCCGAGACTCTAACAATTTCAAGTATATGTCAGGCTTCATTCGATAAATAAATAAAATATTCTATTGGTAAATGGTTACTTGGTATTTATGAAAGTTATGGGTTTTATGGCAATCAGTACATATACTAATAATTTCTTCTTTTGTTAGGTCTTAAGAAGCCGGCTTTTGTCTGGGTCATTAGTAATTCGTTTATGGTATGGGCCCGGAAGAGGGCGCAAGAGCGAACATATGGTGAAAACTTGGTTTGGAAGCACAGTGGTTAAAATATTTTGGCAATGGTATTCGTGGTGTGAAATGGTCACATTTATTTGAGTTATTGCAACAATTTACCTTGGTTTTCCTTAACCAGTTGTGATAGTGGTTCATCTGGGAGGAAACAACATTGGGTCAATAGAATCGGTCAATTTGTGGTAAGTAAGAAGGATATGGTTTTTGTGGCAAAAAAAAATAAATAAATAAAAAATTTGAGATGTTCATTTTATTTGGTCGGAAATTATACCAAGGCAATGCTGGATGAAAATAAGGCCATTCAAACTGCTTAAATAGAGCGTTAGAAAGTTTTTGCAGTTTCGGTTGTCTTTTTAAAAGACACAGTTATTGAGGGCAGTTGCGCAGGTTTATATAGGAATGCGCGTTTCATTTGTCCGATGTTGGTGTGGATATATATTTAAGGTAAGTGTTCAATCTATGTTGGAGATGGCCGTGGGCGGTGGGGGGCCACCGAGTTTGGTATCCCAGAACCTCGGTGGCGTTGGGATATAAGTCACCCTCCTGGGCATCACAGGAGGGTGGATTTGGCTTATAAAATTGGTTTTATGATATATATTTATGGCTCCTGGCTTTGGTGGGGGCGGAGCCTTGGAATTTATGGCTCCTGGCTTTGGTGGGGGGCGGAGCCTTGGAAAGTTGGAAAGTTTTAATGGTGGAAAGTTTTAATGGTTAATATTTCGGTTTGGTTTTAAATTATGGTTTTATGTTTAAAGTGGAATTATGAAATCCGTAATAAAGGTTCACGGCCATTCTCCAAGGTACAATATTGAAGTACTGAATAGACAAATTGGATAAAAGAAGTTGTCTTGTGTTTATTTATATTATGTATCATTAAGAATGCAACATTCAAACCTCATGGTGTTTTACAGGTTACATCACAGTATTGCTATAGCAGCCAATATTAATAAAATGTTAAAGGAACACTATAGGGTCATGCATTTATAACCCTATAGTGTTAAAACTACCATTTAGGTGGCTTGCCTCCCCCTTAGCCCTCTTACAAACCTTATTTCTAGTTGGCTGGTGCAGGCCCTGCCACCAGTTTGAATGTCAGTGCTGCTGAGGAGTGGCCAGTGGAGGTTTCCCAAGGCTGTAATGTAAACACTGCATTTTCTTTGAAAAAAAACAAAACAGTGTTTACAGCAAAAAGCCTGCAGGGACTGATTCTACTCACCAGAACAAATACATTAAGCTGTAGTTGTTCTGGTGAGTATAGTGACACTTTAATTATTAAGCAAGGATTGATGGGAGTTGACAATTAAATTGTAAAACCAGGACAATCTTACACACATTTTCCAATTCTAGTCTGTTGTCAAGTTACCAATTTTTTACTGCATAGTGAGTAAATCCTCAAAAAATCCTAATCTGTAGTATGTTTTTTTTAAAGTCATGTAATGAATGACTTGTGATATAGTTAAATGTAAAATATAAATTACTAGTTTTTGACTAAGCAGTTCTGCTTCCATTCTCTAAACAACCATGTGTTTAAAAGTATTCTTTAGTGCCAGGAAAACATATTAGTTTTCCTGGCACTGAAGGACCCTGGAGTGCCCCTCTCCCTCCCACCCCATCCCAAGTTGCTGAAGGGGATAAACCTCTAGCAGACAGCCATTAGAGGAGGACTTAACCCTGCAAGGTAAATATTGCAGTTTATGAAAACTGCAATAATTACACTTGCAGGGTTAAGGAGTTGGCATCCAGACCACTCCAATGGGCAGAAGTGGCCTGGGTACCTGGAGTATCCCTTTAGACATCTTTGTGATGTATTGGTTCTGGTACTGTATCATTTAAAAAAAAATGTGAAACTGTGTTTTTATTACTGAAATGAGTACTCTCCTATGTATAAAAAAATTACTTTCTTATGTACAGCGTGAATTAGACATAAAAGGCAAGTGGGAGTATAACATTAAGATGTGAGGTATCAAGAAAGAAGTGTGGAATTAAAAACAAAATGTGGCCTGTTCTACATCAAGTATATGTCCAATTAAACAGTTCTATAAACACAATAAATTACTGCTTTTCAAGCTTAAAACATGCTACTCTTTTTCAGCTCAGCAGATAGGCCCCTCAGATTATGTATACTGTGTTCATGTTTCAAATGCATCTGCAGCTTACTTAAAGGGACTCACCAGTGCCAGGAAAATAAGCCTGTTTTCCTGGCACTGCAGGACCATGCAGTGCCTCCTCCTTCCCACACCCCATTCCATGTTGCTGAAGGTGTTATAAACCCTTCAGTGACTTGCCTGAATCCAGCGCCGATGTCCCTCTGCGCTGGGTCAGGCTCCCCCCACGCTCCTCCCCACCGACGTCAGCCGGTGGGGGAGACCCAATGCGCATGCTTGGCAATGGCCGTGAGCGCACATTAGACCTTCCCATAGGAAAGCATTATGAGGACGTCCAGCGTCGTTTAAAATACTTTTCGTGTTTAAAGAACACGGAAGTCCCTCTAGTGGCTGTCTGTCAGAGGAATTAACCCTGCAAGGTAAATATTGCAGTTTATAATAACTGCAGTAATTACACTTGCAGGATTAAGGGTGATGGGAATTGGCACCCAGACCACTCCAATGGACAGAAGAGGTCTGGATGCCTGGAGTGTGCCTTTAAGCATTATATTATCTGTTATGTATTATCTTCATGAATTGTTTCATCCTGATCTTTGTCATCATCAACACCATTATCACCTTTTACTTGAAAATTAAGAAACAAAATTCTATTGTTCCTTTTAAAAAAACATAGGGGACCCATTGCACAGTGGCTTGACCGATTGTTAAAAAAAAAAAAAAACAACATAATTTACACACATGTATCCCAGATACACAGACATTGCTGAATAGAATCCAACAATTAAAACTTAAGGATAGCTGATCCATACTCATCACAATGGACGTCAGGAGCCTGTATATGGTTATACTGCATGAACAGGGTATGGAAGCAATGAGTAACAGTTTTAACACACTCCCCTGTATATAAAGGGACCCTAATTGAATTTGTCATGGAACTCCTAGCCATCACCCTCCAAAACAATTATTTTCGATTTGAAAAGCAGTGATACAAACACATTGCAGTGATTTCTATGGGAACAATACATTTTATCCCAATTCTGAGACAAGATCAAGGGTTATTTTAGATACATTGATGACCTGCTCATTTTTTGCAAGGAGACGTAGAGGAGGCCCATGCAATTATAAATCAACTCAAACAGCTTCAGACTTCAATACGATTCACAGCGGAGGTGAGTAAGCAAAAAAGTAAATTTTTTTGGATTTAGACATTTCCTTCACAGACATAGGGGTTTGAATATTGCCTCTTTGGAAAACCCACAGGCCGAAATACAATTTTTTCAATTTATATTTATATTTTGTATTTTCACACAAAAAATATATCTGCTTCTTAGTATAAAAAAGAAAGTACAGGGTATAGGTTTTTTCAGCTGACATGGGTTATAGGTGCCTATTTCGTATGTCTGTATGTATATTCAAACTGCCCTCAGTCGGATTTATCATGCAGTTCTATAGCCTCTACGTGTTCTCCTGCATTTTGTGTTAGTCTATAGTGGTCATTACAATATTAATGGTACGACATCATTTTCATTTAACAGTCCGGTAGACATGTGTATAGCTACTAACTGCGGCAGGGGATGCTGTTAAGATTGAGCTAGGTCAGGTCAGCTGGTGAGAGCAAAATTAAATAAAATGCAGTAAACTAAAATACAATAAACTGAGATGCATTAAACTGAAATAAAATAAGCCTGGACAGGTGAACAGGTTTAGTTAGCTGGGTCGGGTATTAGTGTAGGTTCTTCCGCACACTTGTCATTGCCATAAAGTCCCCTCCCCCTCCACTTCCAGCCGACAGATTCAGTTTTCGCCGAAAAGACGTCGGGTCATCTGATGAGGTCAGAGTGATGGTCTCAGCTCCTCGCAGGACTATGAGGAATCTATCTTCCCCCCATCAGTAGCGGATCTCTGGTTCTCTGAGCACTTTGGCTGTTTTTGCTAGCTGCCTCTTCGCTGTCAGCACTGTAAATTATAAGTCTACATACATGGACACAGAGCAGCCTTCAAAGTGAATAGTGCCTAATTCTCTGGACTTAGATATGATGGCGGATCAAACCGCAATGTCTCTGATGACTGCAATTATATCTCTGGATGTTCCTTGTGGAACGATCGCTGCTCTGCAGACACGGAAAGTTGCTTATATCATTCCTATGGTTTCTTTTCCTGTTAGGCCCATCAAAGCCACTAGTTGTTGGATAAAGTGTAGTAATGCTTCCCCTCCAATATTTTCTGGCACTCCTCTCACCCATATGTTCCATTTTCTGTGACGGCATTCTAATGTGATTACATAGCAGGAGAGTTTCTGCACCTGTTGGGCCAGTTCATCCACCTGGGTTTGGATGGTGTGTTGTTACTTCTCCCAAGTTTGGTCTTTGGTTTCCACCACCGTGAGTTTCTTGCAGAGTTTCCATATCTCCGATTGGGCTTCTTTGAGGTCTGACTTCCAGACTTTACGGATATCCAATAGGAGGTGTTTTATGTTGCCTTTGGGGACCGGTGAGGAGTCCACATCGGAAACCGTATCTGAGTTAATTTCACCCTGTCCTGGTGGTGCGAGCATGTCTCCTTCCTCTTGGGATGCCTCCGAGGTCTCATCCTCGCTGTGAGTAGTGGGTGCTATCTTGGAATTGCGACTGTGGCCACGGGGTTCTCAAGAGACAGTCAGATGTCCAGCATTCTCGGGGGCCCCTGGGGGATGAAACCTCTTATTTTACGCCCCATGTTAGTCTCTCTTGCGAGATCAGGAGATTGTAGTTCTGCAGGAGCTGAAAAACATGTAGTTTTGACAATTATTGCAAGGGTTGCCGGGAGCTCTGCAGGCAAGTGTCTAAACTCTCTTGCTGCTATCCCCACTCCCCCCCCTAAATTACAATTGTACTAACCAGTGCATTAAAGCACTAAAAGACTCACTTCCAAAAGCTGAATATCTGAGAGTCGTTAGAAATAATTAAAAAAGGGCCTAGAATGAAAGAACAACTTAAGGACATGACAACCAAATTCTTGAACCGTGTTTTTTAAAAGGCACACTTTAGAACAAGCATTGAAAGAGGTGAGACAAACGCAAGAAACAGGCTAGTCTAAGTTCACACAAAGGATAGTGTTTCCCACCTCAGTCAACAAATCTACCTCAAAACTGTCTTATTTTTTTTTGTAAATGAATTTTTTTTTGACAAACAACAACAGCAGGAATAAGCCAAGAAAGAAGGACACACAGGACCCTAATTAGTACAGTTGTCTTTCCTTTCCTCTTTTCTTTCCCCTCCTCTACTTTTTTTTTCTCCTCTTTGTTTCCCTTAGAGCCTGTGGGGTCTAATACCAGAAATAAAAAACCCTTATAGGCCATCTCCTGAGTTTTACTGGCTAATGTGCAGTGATGTAGGTCACAGATCTTGCCCCATTGATGGTCTTACCATGTTTCTCATTTGCTCATGTACGGGGGAGACGGGAGGTTTCTGTTTTGAGTAGTGAGTACAGATAGGATACCGTATGCGGTACTGGGACCGGGTCATCACCTAGAGTTTCAAACAGGGTCAGTGCCCTAACCAAGTTGGGTTTTTGTGAGATGTGGCTTATGAACTGTTTCAGTTGTTTATACCTCAATCTCTGAAGAAAAGTGTGGTGTGCACTATACACAAGCTCACTAAGTTTGCCCCCCACCAGCAGATGCTGGGCTTGTACTTGTGGCTGTGGGAGTAAGCATGTGAACGCTTTCTCCTCCGTTTCAGGGGCAAACTATGGGTTATGTGTCAAAGGGTAAAGGAGGGAGGGGAAGGGTGAGAGTTCCATTTTCATTGCAGTCCTATGCCAAATGTCTAGGATGGTCTTAATGAAAGGTTGATGTTGTGAAAGCTTCCTGCTCGCTGCCAGGTGCATCCACGTCCTTCAGAGAACCTCCCAACTGAAATTGCTCAATCTCTTTCCACATTTTGGCTACTCCATCTTTGACCAACTCCAACACTCTCTGTAGGTGGGAAGCCAGGTAGTATGAATGAAAGTCAGGTACCGCCAAATCAACTTCATTCTTTGGTCTCGTTAGTATCAACCTCGGTTGTGCGAGCCCCATATGTATCTGATTGTCAGTGACATGAGAGACATGAAGAATGCTGTTGGAATATGAATGGGAAGCGTTCAAAAAAGGTAAAGAATGCACAGTAGCAAATTCTTTTTCATCACTGTGATACGACCCAGTCAAGATGGGTGTGGTAGCGTCCACTCTTCCAGATTCTTCTTAAAGGTATTCAGCATGGGCGTGAAGTTAGCGTCTTACAGATGAAAAATATCGTTACTAAGCCGCTTTATCTCCCCAGTGGAATTGAAAGCATGGGTGCAATGCTGAGGCCCTTCTGGTCGGCACCTTATTATTCAGTACGTTTGATTTTGAGTAGTTGATATTGAAATGGGAGATCTTGTCATAGCGATCAAACTCCTGCATTATATTGGGGAGGGCAAGGAACCTAAGAATATCAGTTCATCCGCATATGCACCTACCTTATGCGACGTGGGTCCCACTCTGAGTCCCTTGATGTTGGCATTGTGTCTCACAGCCTGGAGGAGCGGCTCTAGGGAAAAGACAAAGAGCAGTGGCGACAGCGGGCAGCCCTGTCTGGTGCCATTGTGGATCTCGAATGGGTCGGTGAAAGCCCCGTTGATACAAACCCTCGCCGTGGGGTTATCGTACAATTCTGTGATCCAGCATATTGGGTCCCATTCCCAGGGCCTAAAGAGTGTGAAAGAGGAAGTCCCAGCTCACTCTGTCGAATGCCTTCTCTGCATCTGTGGATAGATGTAGAAGGTCCTCCACGGTTCTATGAGCCTGATGAATCAGCGCCAGTACTCTTGCGGTATTATCTCTAGCTTCTCGGTGAGGAACAAAAAAGGAGTGTCTCATTAAGTCGCCAATGAGTAGACCTAGGTTTGAATAGAGGGGAGAATACGGTCATCAGTACCGGGGCATGGTCCATCCAAGTCATCACTCCTATGTCAACCCTGTGTACCCAAGATAGATAGTAGTGTGGGATAAAAAAGTAATCCAGTCGTGAGTATCTAGCATCGGGTATGGAGTAATGGGAATAGTCCCCGCTATCTGGGTGCAGGGCACGCAGGCAGTCAGCAAGACGGTGAGCATGTAGAAGGTTTCTGATCATTAGGAGGACCTGTGTGGGGATTGCCAATACGCCCGTGGAGGTGTCAACCCGAGGATCGAGGGCAATATTAAGAGAAAAGGAGAGAGAGAGAGGACGGAGAGAAAAAATGGGGGGAGAGAAGGAGGGGTAGGTGATAGAGAGCGTGGGAAGGGAGAGAAAGAAGGGGGGAGAGATGGGGGAAAGAGAAGGGAGAGTGAAAAAGAGGAGGGAGAGAGAGGGGGAGAGAGAAGGAGAGAGGAGGGAGAGGGGGGAAAGAGAGAAAGGGGAAAGAGAGAGCGGGGAGAGGAGGTGGTGGAGAGAGAGAGGGGAAAAGAGAGAGGAGTGGGGGTAGTGGAGAGGGAGAGAGGGGGAGAGGAAGAGAGGGGGATAGAGGGGAGGGAGAGAGGGTAGTGGAGAGGGAGAGAGGGGAATAGAGGGGAGGGAGAGAGGGGGAGATAAAGGAAGGGAGCGGGAGGGAGAGCAAGAGAAACTAAGCTATAGGAAGGGAGCGGGAGGTAGAGCAAGATAAGCTAAGAGAGGGGGTGAGAACAGAAGTAGGGTCAGAAGAGTCCACTACTACCCAGTGGCTTGCAGGAGCAGATCCGCAGACACTAAACCCCCGACGAGGATTGCCAATTAGAGAATTCCCTCTGGCCTAGTTCAAGGTGCAGGTCCAGCAGTTTGGGTCGTCACAATGCGGGACATCCGGTCTCTCTTGGATCAGGTAGGTAAAACTCGATCTGGTCTGGCCACCTCAGGTTTAGTGGAGGCAGGGAGATCACAGACTCCAAGTGCATGAAGTCCGGGTGGGTGCGAACTACCACCGGACCACCAGGTGTGTTCACAGACAGGCCTGTCGGGAACAGCTATCAATATCTAATATCTTTGGACTGTAGGGTGCGGGTTAGAGGCCGTAGTGTCCTCCTGTAACGCAGCATGGCCGGGGACAGGTCTGAATACAATTGCAGTTCAGCTTGCCTGTACCCGAAAGTATTGGCCTCCCTCGCCGCCCGCAGAATAGATTCCTTCTCTTAAAATGCTTCCATGCAACACTACATCCCACAATGGTGCATCTGAGGGTCACCTCAGACACAAGGTATGGTGGGCTCGGACGAATACCATAGGCGAGGTTGTGTCCCTTTGAAGCAAGTTGTTGAAGATCTCCTGTAGAATGGATTGTAGGTGTGCCTGGTCGGTTTCAACCTTGGGGAGACCTCACAGAGGCAAGTTGTTTCGCCTACCCCGATTGTCCAAGTCTTCCACGTGTAGTGCCAGGCCTCGGAGGTAATCCGCATGCTATGCCAAGTTGTCGCCAACTTGAAGATTTATTAATGGACAATGGATAATTAGTTGTATGTTCCAGGGAGGCAAAGGTTGTAATACACAGTAACAAAGCTAGAGCTGCAGTGGGATTCCTTGTATGAATTTTAAATGTTCATATTAAAATGCCATCATTCTTATTTTTCAATCTTTAATTTTATATTAATTAAAGTAATTTAAAAGCAATTGGAATCATTTTTAAAATACTTCTAAAATTTCCCAATGTAATAACTGGCAAAGGCACACTTAATGTACTGTACATGAAAACATAAGCTACAGTTTGATATGTAACATAACGCTGCTAACATCCCAACCATGTTTTGCATATAGTTGGAAACAAAGGAGTAGCATTTATTCACCCCAGACTTCAAATATTCCAGCTGCATTTTTTTTAGTAAAAGATGATGTTCTGTAGAAAGTTAGGCTTCTCTGTAGCGGGTTTCTTGATTCATTAGATCGAGTGGAAAGAATCAGGAATACTGAATGCAGAGTATTGAATGTGTCAGGTAGATATGTGGTGCCCTCTCAGTCTATTAATCACAGTGATGGACACAGCCCTTGAATGTGCAAAGATACCAGATATTTGTCACCACAATCCTCTGATAAATGAGGGAGACAGACCTGTGTGTGTGTACTTTAGAGAGTTAATATACATGTGAACACTTGTATTGACAAAGTGGACTAAATGTACATGCAACACAAAGCAAATGCAAGACAGATATACAACAAATTACTAAAGCATGGGTGTCACATGTCATAGCAGAAGTAGAGGTGTCCCCTACCCACGTAAAAGACAGGAGTATAGACAGCCGTGAGCTAGTGCTAAATAAAAGCGATTTTTAAAAACTCATGGAACATGGTTCAGGCACGCAATGGCCTTTGCCAGCATATAGAAAATAAATCCTTCCACCAGAAAAAAAGAGGATTGGTTGCCAGTTGAGTTGACTCATCCTGCCGATTGAGTTGACTCATCCTGCCGATTGAATTGACTCTGAGGTAATACATGTCTCTTTGTTATCCATTATTGATTTAAAATTTGCAGTAAGTCGGTGATGAGGAGCCATGTGAAGCATACGAGTTACTAAATCCTTTGCAGAGTCAGAAAATGTGTTCCAGTTTCCCCCTCTCAAGGTTCCTACCCCAATTTGAGCCAAAATTTCTTCAGGGGAGTCTTCTGGGCCATTTGCAAAAGCAGTATATCCAGCCAACATGGTATACAGAAGGATTCCCAAGCTTTGTATGTCACAGACCTCATCATAACCTTGTCGCTTCAATACCTCTGGAGCCACAACGTTAGCTGTATAACAAGGAGTCATGAGTAGTCCATTCTTAGCCTGCAGTAGCTTTGCAAATTCGAAGTCACATATCCTAATAGACTCTGGGTTACTAGATTCGTCAACATAGAGAATGTTACTGGGCTTTAGATCTCTGTGAACAACCCCTTGGGATTGCAAATATTCCACAGTCTTGCAAATAGTGAGAAGGATGGCACTGTCTTCACGTTCAGAGAAGACCTTTTGACGCAGGATTCTGTCCAGTAACTCCCCTCCTCGCATAAGTTCAGTTACCATGTAGACACTTCTTTATAAACTTCTTTCAGTGTGATAATGTTAGGATGTTGACCATATCTCCGCAAGATTTCAATTTCCTCTGAAGGATCTCTCTTAGACTTGTCTATGACTTTCACTGCATACTCCATGTTGGTACCCTTGTGAATGCATCTTTTGCACACAGAAAATGAGACAACGGCAATTGTCTCATGCACATTGTATACGTCACTGAACAGAACATTTTTGCTGCAAACCTTTGGTAAAGACAGCACTGTAGAACCAACTGGGGATCGCTTATCCTCCTGGTCAAGAGTTGGAGCCACAAAACTGAATCCACGAAACAGCTGTTGTGCTCCTGCACTGGGGGGTGGGGGGGGGTGTTTTCCAGGAAAGTCTTTTGACCTTCGTGAAGTGAACTCTGTGTCAAAGTCTCGTCTGGCTGAGTAACTGCTGGTTTGAAAGGTGGGTTAAGCTCCCTACGATACAGTCTATTCCAATCAATTGTTGAAAAGAAGGGATGGCGTTTAATTTCTTCTGCACCATCTACGTCTGATCCTAAGAGCACATAGTAATGCCTGTGCCTCATTGCTGGGAAACTGAAGCATCCCGAGTTTGGCTTTTAATATTAGCATCATTGTTTCCTTGCTGTCTTTTCCTTGAAATGGGAGGGAACCAGTCAGCATCTCAAACATGAGAACTCCATAAGACCACCAATCGGCACTGTGCGTGTGACCTTGCCAGTTTACAACCTCAGGAGCCATGTATTTAACTGTACCACAGAATGAGTAATGCTTAAAAATTCAAAGGCTGACGGGCATGCAGGCATAATAATCGAAAAAGACAAAAGGAAAACAGCAGAAACACAACTATACACAGCTGAACAGATTCACGTTTTATTATGTATGTCGTTTCCATAGTGATGACTTCCGATGATGTCACAGCACTAGACGCCGCTTGGTGACGCATGGAATGTCGGCATTTGACCAGTGAGTACTGTGGCCTGGGTGAACTCACATGGAGTATGTACATTTTTTATGTTGTGAGCAAATAAAAGCCAAGTTTTATATATATATATACATATATGTGTGTGTGTGTGTATATATGTGTGTGTGTGTGTGTATGTATATATTTATTTATGTATATATATTTATGTATAATAAAACAGATAGGATTTTTAGTGCTAATGAGGGTGTAGGTAGCAGCTGAAACAACACAAACCAGAGTCTCTTGTTTCTGGTAGAAAATACAGTTCAATGTGGAGAAAAGGGAGCAGTGCCTTGTGGATATCCTCAAGTCCAGGTGATGGCTAGTAGATATGTGAAAGAAGAGGACAGGGAAACACAATATAATGTAGTATCTTCTCACAATCTGTGAAAAGAGTAAAGAAACGCACTTAAGTTTTTTTTGGAGCTACAGATCAGCTCCAAATGGTAGCGCCTGGGCGCTATAATTCCCTCATATGCATATGTTGATCCAGCAGAGCCTTGGCAGATGGTGTGTGTGGATCGGATCACAGTAATGGATGGTGTGTAAGTGTCCAGGCTTGGAGGCAGTGGATCACCGTTGTAGTCATTTATGTAAAGGAATAGAACAGTAAATAGAGCTCACAGACAAAAAAAACAACAAAATTTAAAAGAAATAAAAGAAGTACTCACAAAGGAGGAGCAAAACAGGTTTATGCTCAATCCCAATCGCATAGGAGATGTAATCCACACCAAGGATATTCCTGGAGTGATCCTCTTGATAAAATCTTCTAAAAAACTTACAGGAGGGTCCAAAATGGGTAAAAAAATATATAGCTTCTATTAGAAATTAAAATAATATTGTAAAATATACTAACACGTTTCGCCAGTTAGCCTTTATCAAAGTGTTTACAGACATTTGGACCACATCCGTTTATATAGCAAAGAAATAAAAAAATAAAAAAAGGTTGTGTGATATCACAGTTATGTGACCCTTAAATCAATTAACAATTTAAAGATACAAAAATCTGATAAAAAAAAACACAGAAAAGTATTTAGTGGTTAGTTATTAATACATAAAATACATAAATAAAAAAATTAAGAAAGAACTGTTTGATTGACCTCCTGAGCTTAGCCTTACACTTATCTAGAAAGTGTTGAATATTATGTGTATGAGTTGAAAGAGGGTTTCCTAAAGAGGTATCCAAATGTTGCCCTTACATTGCACATACAAAATACATATTCATTCAATTTACAAAATAATTCCCGTACCATTAGCTTTAGACAGGTAAACAGACTTGGCTGATGAGGGAATCATGTGATTGCCAGGAACACCAGCCCTACACCCCCTCCCCCCCCATACCCACCCCCATTGCCTCCAAAGTCAGTGCAGTCATTAAGTTGAACTACTGAATGGAAAAATAACTGTACCAAAGGCTATGATGTATATCCTCTGGGCTTTTTCATCTATTTATAGCTTTTCCTGTACCACAATTGAGTACAAATCCCACATGTTTATTTTTTGGGAGGTTTAGAGCCAAATGAGATCAAGTGAGTTGTTAATGGAATATAAAAGATCACATCTTGTGTTTTTAAGCAAAGAAACAGGAAACAATTCCAAATCAGACTATTGACTTTCTAGGGCTATAGGGCTAATTTCTCTCACAATCTGCAATGTTATGACTTCAGTTCTGGCTTTTACTTCAGGTGAAATGTGAGAAAAGATTTTCACCGGACAAACAAATGTTTAAAAATAACACCACTATTGAAGTTGTTTCCTGACACAGCAGAAAGTGAATAACATACCTCCCAAGTGTCCCTATTTAGACAGGACAGCCCTTATTTTGGGCACAAATCCCTCTGTCCCTCTGTTCTATCCTAATGCCCCTCTTTTCTAAAAGCTCCATATTTTTAGTGTTTCTGAATGTGTAACAGAGCTCCACAGAAATAATACTTACAGTAATGTGTCTTTAAACTAATTTTTTTTAGGGGGCGGCGCCTGACAGCTAAGATGGCCAGACATGTTCTGCACTAGCTCCAGCATAATAGAGCTACAAATAAGTTTATTATACTTCATACCACGCTGGATTCAGCCCTAATCAACTTCTACACTGTTCGGCAACGAGTGGGCAACTGAGGCTAATCAAGCTGACCCGAGACAGCGAATACACACAGCGCCTGACAATGAGGCCTAGCTTAAACTGCAGCCAAGCACCTGGGAGAGACGGCCGCTCTCCCGGGACGAAGCATGCACCCAACAAAGTCTGCTTTGGAGCGATGGGGGTTATCCCGGTCCGCGCTGGAGACACCTAACTACCCACTACAAGGGAACCCCCAGCTCACCAGCCGCCCACATGGCACTCCCAAAATAGCTGCCGCAGCACAACACAAACAACATGAACACAAGCTTACCCTGTCCTGGATAGAGAGCTTCGAGGCCCAATTCAACAAAATCTGCCGGGTTTTCTGGGCTAAAATATCAAGCAGACCTCCAGCCTCTACTCCTCGTGCTAAACCTGCTGCCCGAGCTGCTGAGCCAAGACTCCGACCAGGCTCTGCAATAGGGAGTCAAGGTAGAAAGTCTCCACCTAACCGCCCACATTACCGGCGGACCCCCCGGAGAAGCACCCGATGCCGGGCTCATGACCCCACAGAGATCAGAAGGCGGATCCGTGGACTTGCTGCCATGCGCCCTCACAAGACCTTGACCTCGGAGGGCAAAGAACCAAAGGGCAGAGGACTGTTTAAGGTCCGCACACCAGAAGGCAAGCAACATCCCAAGCACAACACGTTGGCAAACAACGGCATTATACACATCCTGAAACCAGGCGGTAAAGTGAGGCAGGACTTTCCTGTGGCTGCTCCGCGATTCACAATTACAGGGGTCAGCTGACTGTACCATAAGGCATATCGCTGCAGATCTGATTCATCCCGGATTGAAGAGGATGTATCCTAACTCACTAACCTCCTTATGATTCATAGTCATCTCACTTGTTTCTTTTACTCTTGCTTTAATAGCCCATTAAGTTCCTGTGGCCTTATTACTGTTCTGCCTTACTAACATGTTTTATAATGCACTCTATTATTGCTGGTATTACGTGCAGCTCATATGCTCTAAGCAATGTGGTCAACCGATATTCTAGTTAATAATCTTGTTAACCAAACATGTTCATGACCTACATGTCAATATGCCTTTCATGTCAAATATTATACTGGCAAATCCTTTTATTTTCTATAACCTTGACGACGTGTTACTTTCTGCCCACCTGCTACCCTAAGCAATACAGGGACAAAGATTGAAAAAAAACTACTCTTATATCTGCAGTGCTGCAAAACTGCCAGATTGGCCCATGTAAGATCCTTTCCTTGGAAGCATAGGTCCCAGACCACACCAACCAATATAGCAGACATCACTCCCGCTGTTGTCGATATCTGTTTGGCTCATGATGGGCATGCTAACGTTATCACCATCTTAAAATATGCCATTTCCCTATGTTTTAAACCTAAGAACCCAGCGGCTACCAAGCTCCAGAATTAAACATAGTTTAGCATGTTATATAACTCTTCTTTGACAATGTTAATGTCTATATATATATGATGCCTCAGTCACGCTTAATACCTCACCATTACCTGACATAACGTTATTAACCTGTATGTTACTTTTAAAAATGTGCAAAATATTTGTACCTACTGTCATGGCAAAACACGTATGTCTGTAAAAATGTTTGCAGAACAAAAATAAAGAATTAAAAAAAAAAAAAAAGGGATAATAAAAGATATTCTTTTAAAATAAAAAAAATATGTTTAGAAATCAGTCTGTGTAAATAAGATGCATTGGTTTCCCTCTAAAATCATTTCAGTAGCATAAATTGTTATTAGAAAGTCACCTACAATTTTTCTGAACAACCTCGACCCAGGCCACATCCCTACTCACATCCCTAGCATTAAAGTGTCCCTCCTTGTCCAGTTGAAATGTTGGACGGTACAAGATGAATCTCTACAATATCTGACTATTCCCTTTGGAAATACTGTGCTTCCTAAAAATACATTGGATTTAACCCCTAGGGGCCACAGGATAATAGATGAAGAGAATTTGTGAATATCGTCACATTAAGATATTATGGACCTTAATTAAGGCTATCTAAAAGAGAAATCTCACCAGAATTCCTCACAATCAGAGCCTCATTTTAGATCATGGCTTTCTCAGCACAGTGTTTGCAATAAATATTAATGCAGAGTTTTAGATTCTTGTTTTTCCATATTTGTCACATTGAAATCTCTCACAAGGTAGATTATGGACAAATTCAATATTGATCTGAGGGGTTGGATGCAGCATTCATCCACCCTACCTGAAATCTAACTCAGACTTTGTCCATGGATTGTTTGAGGGTATGAGAATATCTGTTATGACTTGTCCCACTGTCTGCATGCCTCTGGCCGACTCGGAATACTATCACTGTTCCAGTGGGTAATGAGCTGAGTTATTGTGCCAGCTAATGTGATATCAGAACCAGAACCAGGCTGTAGTCAGGCTGATCTATGGAAGGCCAAATAGAAAGGTTACTTACTAAAGATAAAAGCTGAAGTTGCATAAATGAAGTTAAACTTGACATTTCCTAAGGCAGGACAATCCTTGCATCACTCTGCCCGTGGTATTATAACAAGGCAGATAGTAAGATGTTCATCACATATCCTTTGCTCCGTAAAAGTAAATTTTTCAAAGGAAGACTGTTGGGACTAAAACGACTTCA